AGTCTCGGCCTATGCTGGACCATGAATCTATTGTAATAAATTTCATAATGTAAATACTATGGCCCAATGTAATATATAGAATTGTTTATTAGAATATTATATTGAGTACCAGTAATGTTAAATATATTTACAATATCAATAATTTATTGAACAAATTTACTATTTATTAACAATATTCACTGAATTAATTTATTTAATAAGCTTTTGTAATAGATTAATTTAATATAAATATTAAATATAACATAAATTATAACTTATTTTATTTAATATCAGTACGATTTGATTTATATCAAATATTGAAAATAGAAACGGGTAAGCTTTGGTAGCATGTTGCTTTCCCAGTTTGCTTGATCAAAGTAAACACGTTCTATGTGAAGATCTTTGACCGTATATACAACAAAATCTATCCAGCTTAATTGGCAAATTGCCATAATTCCTTGTAATTGAAAGGAATAGACATGCTTCTTTTTTAACACAGGTTTACCTTCTAAATAGTGAAGATAAAACTTTCCATCTTCACATGCTTCACTTATAGTCATATCAATTTTTTACGAAGGACATTTGATCTCTACTGCACCATACGGAGATAATTCCTGGGAGCTGCAAGCCAGTGCATCTGGGCTAGCACCCAGCCATGGCCATTTAGGATTAATTACCAGACCAACAGATCCACAAACTTGTATGGGAATATTTTCAGATTCTTGTTGCTCATAATATTTTAAAAGTGCATTTGATTCATTTTCACGGCCCCATTTGCAGCTTTTTGAAAATGTTGCTGTACTAGAGGAATTCTGTACTTTTTCAACAATTGTTTTGGGGTAAATTGACTCCCTTCTGTTCATTACTGATCCAAAGTTTGATGATGTCAATCGCTGCTTTCGCTCAGAATACCACTCTGGACAATCTGCTTGATCTCTAGTGTTTCTCTCAATATCTTGGCTTTTCTTCAAATCAACAGTCAGGTTTTTCATTTCTAGTTGTGCAAGTTCAGTCTGAGAAAGAATATTAAAATCTAGAGTTTCAGTAAGACCATTAAGAACAGTAACTCTGACGTTTTCTGAATTTACACCACTGATCACTTTTCTTTTAGATTCAATTCTTAATTTTGATGGTAAGTTGTTATGCCAAAGTTCATAATCGAAAGGATTGCAGTCATTATCATCAAGCACACCAACAAGGGGAGAGTTTATATCATTTTCAGCAAGACCATCATGCAGTCTTTTTATATCTTCATTTAAAACCTTTTCAGCAAAGCTAGGTGCTGCTTTATATCCTTCCCGTTTGCCTTTGACAAGAGGTCGTTTTCTGCCTTTCCTGTCTTTTTCAAAGCCTCATTGCTCAAAAAGTAAATCCTCAAAAAGAGCAGCACCTTTCATTTCGTTCCCAGTTGCAGGTACATTCCACTTTTGCAGTTTCTCGGTACAAGATATATCATCAGGCACTTCAGACAGCTCAAGTTCTTTAAATTCCAATATTTGAAACAGAACTGCTGCTACATGTTTACAAACACCTTCCTTTCCTGCTGGACATTGACACTTCGCATAACAAACATTTCCGGAACTCTGCAAGATATGTACATAAACCATATACTCAATCTTCTTCATTTGAGCGTTCACCCTAGCACGAACGAGAAAACATGTTTTATCGCCCATCTTTATATCTGGTTTTACCACAATTCCATTCACATATCCTGACTTGAACAGCTGATATCCAAGCTTTTTGTGCCGTGTTGCTCCTTTAGGCTGCTTGTCAACCACGCTCGATTTAAATACGAGGTGTTTTTCCAAAATTTCATGAGTAAATTTCGGAAAACCAGTTAAGTTTCTAGTCCAAATTACTTGAGATTCCTTCGTTGAGTTTGTACCATCCATTAAACAACCGAAATAATCCAATATTTACAAGTATTTTAAGCAGCTCCGTGTTTACACGGCCGCCATTTTTATTTTTTCTGCCTAATCAGCAATATGATACCTTACTTCCCGTCACCCCCTGCGCGCATAAATTTAAAGCTGGAATTGCCTATTTAACCGGCCAGGATTCCTAGTTGATTTAACCAGGCTGAACCAGGCTATACTGTTGAAATAACCAGATTATTTTAGGTGGATAATTAACAATTTCCTGTTTAATATTGACAACGACTTAACGCTTGTTTTGGAGGAAGCGCAGCGTCTCAATTCTAGATTCTCAATTCTCAATTCTATGTATCGTAGTATATATAGAATGAAACTCGTTTATCGTAGTTGATTTTATTACTCGACAGGTCCTCAGAAGTTCTTGTTGCTTACTCAACGAAGTGAAATACGTATTCTATCATTGAGTACTGAAGAACACAGAGATCTTGAACTGCCGATTAAGAATATTGGGCACGTGATTGCTGTTGATTTTGATCCTATGGAGAAGCTCGTATGTTGGATTGATTCCCAGTACTTTGAAATAAAGTGCGCGTACCTTAATGGTTCTGGTAATATAATTTATTGTAGAAATTAAGGTTTTGTAGATAGAATTTCCGAGTGTGAATTTTATACATTTAACAGACCTAACCAGGAGCTGAGTTGCGAAAAATTCAACTTTATGCCCTCTAGTAGGAATCGAATCTGTGGCCCTTTTGCGTTCTAACTACAGTAACTGAGCTACAGAGACCAGTTATCGAGCTCTAACCGCAAGTACATGTTAATCAAATCCTGATATTCAATGGATCTTCGTATTTTCTTGTGTATGTGCAATTGGATGAATCTATTTCCAGCAGAAAACTTGCAAAAAAATAAAATAAAATAAAATAAAATAAAACAAGTAAAATTATATGGCCGAATAAAATCATCTGGGCACTCATTATTTGTTTAAGAACAAGACACTCAAACATAACAGCAACCCATGACGAAATTGTAGCTTCTCTTTGGAAATACCATGCAGTTGAAAAGACATTCTCACACATCATTAGATATTCATAGCATTTCGGCCAATGACATGGTGTAATTTACATCACGTGTATCTATCTGGAAACCCCGTCTAGACCAGGACTTTAATTACTTCAAGTGGGAAGGGCTTTGAACAATAGGGAAATTGAGGGGTAAACAAAAGATTATGCAAATATATTTAA